CCCCCCCGCCCACGGTGCTCCTTTCTGGTCAAATCGAATGTTGTCCTAGGGGCTCCACGGAACGGAGCGGGAGAATCTTCAACTTGAGCCGTTTGATATTTTGATTCTAAGCCCGAGCACAGCGTGCCCAGACCCGAATCTGTGCCGACTCACGTTGCACACCCAGGTGAACGACACAAAAAGTAGGTAAGATTCAGGAAAAGACGATTCTTAGTGATATTCAGTCGTTGAATTTTCCCCATAAGTATATTTCAACGTGTTCAGTCGCATCATGTTCCGCCAGAAGCTGGCACAGAGGTCCAGTTCCTCCATTCAATCCCTCTTTGTCGAAAGAAAAATGGATAAATTCGATGCCTCTTTCGTCTAGTATTGCTTGAAGCAGTAGTATTTGAACCTTTCAAAAGCAAGACGTGGTCAGAATGTTGAGACTACGGATGCGATCAGAAAGCTTGACGTGGACTAAGATAAGAGAATGTTGTTCATCACTTTGTTTCGTTTCGATTGACCGCAAGCTCCCGCTCTCCCCAATTACCTACGTAAATGTAAAGATCCATCATTATTTCTTCCTATTTCTGATCCGCTCACCTGCCCTCATCGACAGCTCATAGACCTGATTCGACGTCCTCATTCCCCTAACTCCTTCCATATACCTTCCCTCATATCACCTTGATACGTCGTAATCCTGCTTATCATATTGTATGCACACGTAGTCGCACCGATCATACATAAATATCGCGCGGGGAAGACTGATAATGCTCATCACGGCCGGGATCTAGGAAGATCGAGAAACCCTCAAGGACTCTTTCATCAAGAAAGCAGTTTCCTTTTCCTCTGATATTGGTATCATGCTCCGTTTTCCAACCACCACGCCGCTAATATCTCATACCACCAGCACGAGAATATTCTCATTCCTTGCGGAGGCGGTACGCGTTGGACAGGATATCTCCTACCCCAGCCATCGCTACCCAACCAGACTCTCATTGCTTTGTTCCCGAAGCAACTTGCACTCCGTTCGACGCGGAGGGTTGGCGAGGAGGAATCACATAGCCTTCAGGCTTTTGAAGTTTCCCCATCTCGATCCCTTCCACGACGGCCTCCTCCAGCTCCTCGACTTCCCCCGGCAGTGCCGGCTCGATGGCATCAGCATCCTCCACGTATGCCAGAGACTCGTGCGGAGTGTCGTCCACCAAAAACTTGGTCCACAGCAAACCGACAAAGGCGATGCAGCTACAAATAATGAAGACGGCTCGCACGCCCTTGTCCAACAGGTGCTGGTGATCGTCGCCGCACACGCCACCGGGGCAGAACATATTCGTGACCTTCAGAAAAGCGGCACCGCCGACGGCAGCTCCAGCTTTACCGGATGCAGCGGAGAGTCCGTGGCAGGTGGCACGGGCCGCGGTGGGGAAAATCTCGGCGGGAATGACGAAAGTGGTAAGGTTGGGACCAAAGTCATCGAAGAAGAAGGTGAGGGCGTACAGGAAAACGAAAAGGCCTGTCAAGCCTTTGAGCTCTCGGTAAAAGATGGCCATGATGGCGAAAATAATCATCTCGCCCGTGAAACCGATCATCTGCAAACGCTTGCGTCCGATGCTTTCCATGAACAGCACACCGCAAACATACCCGGGCATGGCCATGAGTTGGATGAAGAGGTTGGTCAACGCGTTGCCCTGAAGGGTCTTGTTCGCGCCACCCATCGCTTCTGTCACGTCCGCCGAAAACAAGGAGTTGCCGTAGAACACCACGTCGAGGATAAACCAGGCACCTGCCGTGCCCAACAATTTGAGTCGGTTGTCCCACACCGCCATCATAATCCCGTACAGTCGCTCCGAGGGAGGCGTCTTCTCGCCCACGTCTTCCATAAAGGTCTCCGACTCCGGGATCCATCGGAAACGGAAACATGCCATCATAGGAATAGCTCCGAAGAGGATCGAGAAGCGCCATTGCCAGTTGGTGTCCGTGATCACATGCACCGAGAAAAGGATGACGATTCCACACAAAACACGGCCGACACCTTGCATAGAAAACACAGCGGCCAAATTGCGACCGCGATGCGCCGCCGAGGATCCCTCCGACGTCACGGTGGAAGCCATGGGGTACTCTCCTCCCACACCCACGCCCATGAAGAAGCGGAAAAGCATCAACTGTTGCCAAATATTCAAGCCCATCATTCGAGGCTGCGCGGCAGCTTGAAGGATGGTACCGATAATGGTAAGCGCGGCGGTTGAGATGAACGTCCACTTTCGGCCGATGATATCACCGCACACACCGAACAAGATCTGTCCCGTTAAGGCACCCACCACCGTCATCAATGAAACCTGCAATTATTCAGCATTGATGAGAAAAAATCAGGTTATCTCTGTAGACTGCAATGCCACCAAAAGAAGGGCTTCGTTGCATCTTCACACCCTCGGAAAGCATGGAGTCCTACTCGTATGCATGGGAAGTCCAAACGCGTGCTTTTCTCGATAAAAAAGGTGAGGACGTACCGTCGACTGGATATCGGGAGTTAGAGGTACCCCGTAGTCATTTTGCCGCATCATTTGAAGCGCGAGGTTGATCACAAAAATGTCTGATTTTATTGAGGATTGACAGGCAAAATTTGTTTTGTGGGTATCAAGGCAATAAAAAGGAAACGTATGCCGTACAATTTTTTAATGCGCTCTACATGCGCTTAAGCTCTGTAAAAGAAAATATCTTACCGTAGCTGTCTGCCAGGAAACCAGCACCGGCGATCAAAATCCGACCGGATCGACGCATCACGCTCTTGGCCCGGTGGAAGTGGTGGTGAGCGGCGTGATAGTGCGAGAGCCGCTCCACCGCCTCTTCAGGCGTGGGTTTCTGATGAAGCTTCGATCCATACCGCTTCATGGACGACGAGGTGTTCATGGAGGGATTCGTCGATGACATGGTGGCAAGTTCTAGACGCCTTACTGGAAAGTCCTGAAAGTGAGGTGAGAGGAGAGCTGTGAGCGTCCAAGACAGGAGAATCCATACTTGCGGGCATTGTACACAGTAAGTCATTCATGGTCCTCGATACAGCACTCTCGCAACAGCTGTATTCTCAAGAATGAATCCAAGGGTATAGCGAGACCAATGGTAGCCACAACCGACACCTTAAAGAATCTTGGCGTGCGCACCAGTAGTTCACGGTTATCTGGTGGGCTGAGTTAAATGCCTCGAGGAGACAGAATCCCAGAGCCTCTAATTAAATTGCATAGTCGCACAACTTTCTCGCTACCTGCTTCCCTCGTCCAGAATCTTTGGAGAGAGCGCGGGGAAAAGCCTGTAGTCACCTGCAAGATGCGGATGCCGCGAAGCTTCTATTTCAGCCCATCAAAAATCAAGGGGACGTGAAATTATCAATCTTCAGAGTCCTTACAATGCGCTGCTTAATCACCGCATACCGGAAGGCCCGCTTCCATTCGTATCTCGTCCCCTCATTTCCTGGCACCTCTGCGACCGAGGGTGTCCGTTTCCCAAAAGGGAACCTCCCGGCATTTTTCGTCAAACCCCGAGGAGCCCTACTATCCCTGCCCCAGCCCCCGCCCGACCCCTAACCCTCGAGACCCTCCACTTTCGCGCGTGTTCAACCTCACGGTCTTCATTTTTCCACTCTTTTCGTAGGCTATGGTGTGAGATGTCAATGGAGGCGAGAAAAGTCCATGTTGGAGCTGTTGGCCTTTCTCAATTGCCCAAAAAGATGAAGCGGCCGCGTGAAGAGGTGGGCTCTCATCAACTTACTGCCTTCCAGCCAACTCCCTCGCGGCGGCAGCACCAAAACGCACGCCAGCAGTTGCCCATCTGGCGACAGAAAACTTACGTTGTCGAGACTGTGCGGCGACATGCCAGTGTTGTTCTCGTGGGCGAGACTGGCAGTGGAAAGAGTACTCAGGTACCTCAGTTTTTGCTCGATGCTGGTTTTTGCGCTGGCATCGTCGAGGCTCAAGGTAGCACACCATCGCCGATCCGGGCACGCAAACTGATAGCATGTACTCAACCACGACGCGTGGCGGCCATTACTGTGGCTGGGCGGGTAGCCGAAGAGATGGGTTGTGCGTTAGGCCAAGCCGTCGGCTATGCGGTTCGCTTCGACGACAAGACCGGCCCGCGCACTGTCATCAAGTACATGACCGACGGTGTGCTTTTACGAGAAGCCATGACTGACCCACTTTTAACGCGGTACGCTGTTATTATCCTGGATGAAGCTCACGAACGGTCGTTGCAGACGGATATCTTGTTTGGGTTGATCCGGCGTGCGCAGCGAGAACGCGAGGATCTGCGCGTAGTGGTGATGTCAGCTACCCTGGATGTGGAGGTGTTCCGGCGATTTTTTGAGACTGGAGGGAGAAAAGAAGAGAAGGCATTGATCAAAAGGCACGGAGAAAACGGGAAGCATGAGAAAGGAAAGCTTTCGCGCGAAGGCCAGGCGTCCACGGTAGGCGTCGTGCGGATCGAGGGCCGACAGTACGGCGTGGAGGTGTACTACTGCGAGGAGGCACAAGAGGATTCCATCGACGCAGCTTGTCTGGCCGTCCTTCAAATCCACGAGAGCGAGCCCCTCCCCGGGGACATTTTGGTGTTCCTCTCCGGTCAGGAAGACATCGAGGCCCTTGCCGAGCTTCTGTCGGAGAGCGCCGGAACCGATACTTCTATCGGCAAGACAGGGCTATGCATGGAAATTTGCCCTCTCTACTCAGCGTTAGCCCCGGAGGAACAAGCCAAGGCCTTTCATCCTCCCAAGGGCCCCGCGAAGAGCACCCGAAAAGTCATACTGGCCACGAACATCGCCGAGACCTCGGTTACGATCAACGGTATCCGACACGTTGTTGACACGGGCTGGGTTAAGGTTCGACGCTACGTGCCTTCCACCGGACTCGACAGCCTCAAGACCACACAGATTGCCCGAGCTCAGGCTCAGCAACGGACAGGCCGGGCCGGCCGGGAGGCGCCTGGGAAGTGTTATCGCCTCTTTACCGAGTCCGCCTTCGAACGTCTGGACGCCGTGCCCCAGCCAGAGATTCAGCGGGTAAACCTCACGCAGGTCGTGCTGCAACTCCTGGCCATGGGTGTGGACGACCCTCAGCATTTCGACTACCTGTCTCCCCCCTCAGCTACGGCCTTGGCCCGGGCCTTTGAGACCTTACTCGCCCTGGGCTGCATCGCAGAGGGAGGCTTGTCACCTGGAGGGAACGTTGATGGTACACGCATTTTAATCCCAGAAAAGGACGACAGACAGGCTGTGGAGGCCCAGGCGGACCAGAAGCCATCGGGCCCTGCCAAGTCGCGCCCGGTAATCACCCCGCACGGCCGTCGAGTGGCCTCCCTGCCCCTAGACCCCGTCTACGCACACTTCGTCCTCCGCGCCAGCGAACTCGGCTGCCTCTTTGAGGCGTTGACTGCCGTTTCCATGCTGTCAGCGGAGAACGTCCTTTACATGCCCTCCCCACACGGAGGCCCTGATGCAGCTGAGCAACGAAACCGCGCCACGACTGCTCATCGCGCGTTGGCAGCCTACGATGGAGATGTTCCTACTCTGGTGCACATTTATGAGCGGTGGGTGGCGGCGAAGAAGGGAAATCGATGGTGCTGGGATCATTTCGTGAACGCGCGGGCCATGAAAAAGGCCGACGAGGTGCGGGAGCAATTGCTGCTTCTGGTCCGTCGCCTGGGCTTAGACCCTTCCCAGTCCTGCGGGAACGAGCGGCAGATCTTTCTCCGGAGTCTGGCTGCGGGACTGTTTTTGAACGTCGCACGGCGCCAGCCCGCTACCTCCCCCGCCCTGGGCAAATATTGCTACAAGATGCTGGCGAACGGGCGGGAGGCGGCCATTCACCCTTCCAGTGTCCTGCACGCCCGGAATCCGGCCCCCCAGTGCGTCGTCTTTACGGAGGTCTTGACAACCAGTCGTCCTTACATTCGCGGCGTCAGCATCGTGGACCCTGCTGATTTGCAGGAACTGGTGCCGCAATTTTTTGGGCGGGCATGAGGGGAAGAGAGAGGGCAAAGCAAGAGGGTGAGGCTTGACGTCGAGTCCAGGGAGAGGAATGCCGAGTAAGATGGGCATTGGCAGGTTGAAGCTATCCTTGATTGTGAGGAAATGCTGTGTCTTATTTTAGAGGCCGAGTGGCTTTCCGGAGCAAGAACAAAGTAAAGCCCGTGCGACGCCCTTCTTTTACGTCGAAGGACATGCGACATGTCCCCTTTAAATCGCGACAAGCCGCAACAGTCGACTTCTGTTTCGTTCTTTGTGGTATCATCATGTAGAGTACTTCCAATATGTCACCTGCTCCCGCTTTCTTCTCGTCCAGGCTCAGCTTTGCGCGTCGATTATGATCCCGGATACATCAGTTTCTTAAAGATCGCTACCTCCTCCACCCCACCATAGGCCACTCCACACTTGAATTCTAGACCCATAATGGGTAAGTCCAATATCGAGATGGGCTCCGGGTGCTCCCCATTGGGCCCGGGCGCTGTGCAAGAAGCGGCGCCTGCACACTCCATAACCAAGGCAATGGGTGCCGCCTCGTACAGTAGGCGAAGCTTGGCCTTCGCAGCCGCCGAGACAACGTTTGTCACAACCCCTTTGCCTTTAATGAGGACATGGTACACGTCGGGAACCAATCCCCCCGTATATCGCAAGGTGTAACGTTCTGCGATCCAGAAATCAACAAGCTGCTTGTAGGCTGCATTGTCCGCGGTGGCCCGCAAGTTCCCAGGCGCAAAGATTTTCCCCGCCGGCGCCACCCGCAAGTTCTCGTGGATCATCTCCCATGTGCTGTCATGCTGCAGCATGAGCTGGACAGTACGTGGGCCGGCGGCAGCTTGGGGTAAAGCGATGACCAGCGTTACCCGCGGCCCGTACACGGTCAGGATTGACGAGACCTGCTCCCTCCCCGTGCGTCCCAAGAGGCCCCTTCCCGGCCAGACGCCGAATATGGAACCCACTGAAAAATTCGTGTCGATGATGCTGCTTCCGTCCAAGGGATCAAAAGACACGGAGAAGCCTTCCCCGGGGGCAGCTTTAGGTGCCCCCAGGTCTTCCTCTGTCGGGGTCTCCTCGCTGCTGGCAATGTGCACCAACCCACACGCTCGGAGCTCCTCGAAAACAATCTCGTTTGTGACCACGTCCAGGTGCAGCTGTTCGTCTCCGAATGTGTTTTCAATGCCGCTTTTCGTGTGAGCGTCTCCTGTCCGTAGGGTGTCTGCTATGCGTTTTGAGGCTCGTGCAACAGCTCCCAAAAGTTGCTCTAAATCAGCAGGAAGATCTGGCATAACCTGACGCAGTGCAGGGAGACATAGAGCCGTGACAGGCTCTGGCATCACTTTTGTCGAAGAGGGCGCCTGTACGGGTACCCTATGAATGGGGCGGGGCGTTCGATGTAATGCAGGGGGGGCAATATCGTGGAGGGAAATAACCGTGCGGAATGCGAGAAGCAACAAAGGTCCCCGAAGGAAATTACAAGAGAGGTCACTGTGCTAGTGAGTGCGTGTCTTGGCCTTGTCGAAGCATTGCCAGGTGCATCCATTGCAACTTGCACATGTGCAGATCGGTAAACGTGCGTATCTCCCCCCTGGCCGGCGGGCGTTCAAGCCTTCGATAGGGAGAGGAGGTTGAAACGACTTCGGAAAACGAGAGTTTACGGCCTCCGATTATCGTAAAGAGATTTAAAGACTGTGGTTTGGCCACAACAGCAATCATAGTCATGTCTCAAAGTTATTGGGGCCCTCTTGAGCGTACTCCCCCCCATGAACATTTGAAACTTTTCATGTCCTTTTGAAACTGATAGTTATTGACTTTGAATGTAGTTTTCTTTGAGAAACAAAGCCCTTCCCTTAAACGGGGTTCAGAGACAGTCTTTCTTCGTATTCGCGCTCTTTGAACTCTCATCGCGACGTTTCTAGCGTCCTGGAACGTGACGCCGGTCGTCTCATGCGATTTTTTGGTTGCAGGCGGTCTTCGTACCACACAGAACCTCTGATAATTGAGGAAAAATGTTCGAAAGGAAAATAGGGACCTAAATTAAAACGGTACTGACTAAACGAGGGCGGTCCCTCCCGTTGGAGCGCAAGTCGTTCCTTCTAGGTGTACATGCTTTAAAGTTGCTAGCCCATAAATGACACCTTCACATTCTTCACCTGCTAGACCTATTGAGAGTTCGCGCTCTCTAAAAGTCTATCTAGAAGCGCCTTCCAGCCTGACGTTTCCTCCAGAATCGATTGAGTAAGGCTGCCTCTCCCACCGTCAAGATCGCGCCTGCAAAGCCAAGCACCAGACCGACCAAAAAGGAGTGCCGCCGCTGGAAGATAAACGTCCTGGTTCGTCCTTGCAAAACCAGGGCGTCGCCCCCTAGAGCACCTCCAGCCTCCCGTTGGGCTTGCACCCGCTTTGCGCACCAGGATAGAGCGCCTTGAGCAGTTGTCTCCACGTGCATGGTGTCGTCAGGGGTGGCATACAGGATTTTATCCCGGGCTGCCCGCGCCACCTGCTGGATAATGCCGTCGTAAAAGCCATCCACATTGACGAGGGTGATGGGGATTTTCCCGAAACCCACAGAATTGTGGCAGGCCACCTAGAGGAAGGGGTTGTTGGCGGAAAAGTGAGCTGTCGGCGTCGAAAGCGTGCGGGCGGAGGCTCGCGTTCGAGGAGGTCCCAACAGGGGGAAGGTGGTCAGGGTGACTGAGAGGACCCTTGTCCCGCCTGCCATGTACCAGCCAGTGAGGATGAATCTTAGGTGCCCACAACGTGTAGGAGCAGACGCGCCATCGTAAGCACTTTCCTTTCGAGACTCAGAGCAAAAAACTCACTTCTACTCTTTCCAAGCACGCGCAACCCATCCCCCTACTTTCCTCCCTACCTCCATTAATTCGTCCCACGTCCCTGTCCCGCCGGGCAAGACTATCACACAGTCACAGGTCTCCCACAACAAACGCTTCCGTTCCTGCAGATTGTTGCCCTGGGCGATCACGAGCTCGTCCACGTCCTCGAACTCCATCTTGTCTATCACCCACTTTCCGTGGATGACCGTCTTGATCTTTTGTGGGAAAGGCATGCGGAAGAGGGATTGGAGACGATCAATCGACTTAAGACAGTTGAATTGGGTCGGTGAAAAGAAATTTAAGTTAAATTGTTGCGCCCGGTCAGCGACTGGACTTTGCAGTCACACACTTGCTCAAACGACAATACTACGCTCGCACAAAAAAAATACCTTGCCTCCACCGGCCCGCGCCCCCTCATTCAAGGCACCCATACACCCGTTTTTGCCTCCGCCATTGATGCAGAGGTACTGCGCCTTGGCTATCTCCTCCCCCAACTCACGTGCCACCTAAAGTAAGGAAGGCAGGTGGTAGGCCATTGGTGAGAAAGCCTGATGAACCCCAATTAACAAATTATGAACTTTTACCTTGAGATATGGCTCCGGTGTAAGTGAGCTTGAGGATGCAAAGACGCAGACTCGCATTTCGAAAAACGGGAAACGATGTTAGAAAATGCGGGGTAAGAATGCAGGCGTATACCCCTATGAGTATGAGGGTGGGGGAGAAGACGAATCGCGTGAGACACGTTACCCCGACCAAGTCAGAATCAAACGTCAAAGGGCCCAGAATGTGGCCATATCCTTAGGAAAACGTGTGAAGATCCCCATTTTGTGCTTCCGGTCATGTGTGAGTCGTTGGTGATGATTTAGCCATGGTAAAAGGAGGAGAGGAGGTACCCAGGAGGGGAGGTCGCTGAGCTTGGTAGATTGTGCCGTCATTTGGTCTGCTTTGTGAGCTCATGATCCTTTCATGCCCGCTCAATCTACACAGACATTAGCTGGCCTACCGTGATACCGTTTCGTAGCCTGTCTTCCCCATCGGGGGGGCTGGTTTGTCCTCATCAAGGTACCGCATGGACCAACCGTCCCTTCCGCCAGCAGCCCGTGCCCCGTGCTCGTGTCTGGAGCAAAAGCTCGTTTTGTACGATACGCTACAGCATCCTGATGCCATACGATGGGCGGCGGACGGGCGCCTGGCTGTCTTGCTCGCAAATCAGGTGGAGATATGTCAATACGTTGGAGAAGAGGTGGAGCCTTATTTCCGGTATCGGATCATTCTGCCGGGGGGCAGGCAACAAGGCGATCGAGTGCCCGTGGATGTGGGTGTCATGAAGGCAGACGGCATGTACCAAGACCGGGATGCAATGGTGTACGTGCTGGGACGCAGCAGCGCGGAGGCAGCGAGCGGTGATGATCTGTCCCCAATGTTTTGTGGGCTCGATTGGTCTCCTCGGGCCTGTGCCTGGGAGGGTGGTTGCCTGCTTGCGACGCTGAGCACGGACGCACGTGTAGAGGTGTGGGAGCCGCCAAGGTCGACGCGGGCGTGCAGCTGGGTGCGCGCAGAGGACGTGACGGATGTCTGGGCCTGCTACTTAAAGCGCCACGGTTACTTGGCACCCGGCATGAAGCACAACAAAGTGCTGCATGCGCTCCTCCGGGGTGCAGAAGAGGAGGAGAGGAGGGAGGGAGGATCGATGAGGGACCCCCAGAAGTGGGCGGCACGGCAGCACATGGTGGCGGTCGAGGCCCTGGCATGGGCCAAAGTGCAAGGGCGGGGCCGCCCTGGGCCTCGCGGGCAGGACGGGGAGGACGGAGGCGGCGGAAAGAAGGGGGGGGAAGGGAGCTTCAGAGAAATAGAGTGCGCACTGCTGGCCACGGGGGGTCCGCGCGTGTTGACTGTGTGGGGATTCTGGGACCAAGGGGAGGGGAAGTCCTACGGGCTGAATTGGGAGGGGGAGGAGGGAGGGAAGGAGGGGGGACCCGCCCCGTTGCTTGTGACGGACGTCGTTGCGGACATATCGCAGGTGGCCTGGATGGCACCGAATCGCTGGCGAGGGGAAGCGGAGGCGCGGGGGGAGGGAGGGATGCTGCTGGCTGTTGGCACGGCCTTGGGTTCTGTCCACTTGCTGCTTGTGGTCCGCAATTTTTTGGGCGGGCATGAGGG